CTCATGGGCTTGGTGGCCAGAAGGCTGTGCAGAAGTCCTGTGCAGACCCCTCCGGTAGGCTCATAGTTGGCCGTGTTTTCCCTGCCTCTCCACATAACCTTCCACCTATGCAGAACTGTGGTTTTGTTGTTTGTTTCAGTCAAGGTCTCTCTACATAGATCAGGCTGGCTTTGAACTTCTCTGGTCCTCCTGCTCTGCCTCCTCCATGGATTACAGGCATGAACCATCAGTTTTGGCTCTCGGGCACTTTGTAATTAGGTGTTCATTGTGGCTGGGCTGTGGACGAGACACAGACTACATTAAACTGTGCTCTTAGCACAGTGCACTGGTCTGTCAGATGCAAAGGAGTTTGGTTCCAGGATCCAGACTCCTCAACCTCAGCCCACCCAGCCCTGCTGCTCCCTGTGAGTGATTCCCTGTGAGTGACTAGGCAGACAGCTGTCTGGGACAAAAGCTGGGGATTGTGTCTCTCATCTCATCCCCAAGTTCATATGTAGGAGTCCCAACCCTAGGACCTTAAACAAGGACTTTTTATTATTTATTTTCATTTTATGTACATTGGTGTTTTGCCTGCATGAATGAATGTCTTTATGAGGGTATTGGATCCCCTGGAACAGGAGTTATAGACAGTAATGAACTGCCATGTGGGTGCTGGGAATTGAACCCAGGTCCTCTGGAAGAGCAGTCAGTGCTCTTAACCACTGAGCCATCTCTCCAGCCCCCCAAATAAGGGACTTCTTTGGAAATACATACCCACGGATGTAGTTACTTAAGTGAGGATGGGGTCATAGTAAGAGTAAGGTGGTGCTGGGTGGTGGAGCACGCCTTTGATCCCAGCACTCGGGAGGCAGAGGCAGGTGTATCTCCGTGAGTTCGAGGCCAGCCTGGTCTACAGAGCGAGTTCCAAAGAAGCTAGGACTGACTACACAGAGAGAAAGCCAGAAGAAATGAGAACACGCATGCCAAGCCTTTAGCAAGGTGCCTGTAACACCCTAAACTGCCTCCCAAGGCAGCCTTACTCGGCAAATGTCCTTGGGGATATGCTGTGTACCAACCAGGGTGACGTTCACAGGGCCATTGCAAGCTCACAGCAGGCCCTAGGTGTGCACCATGAGGGTAGCCAGCAAGGAGGACCAAAGGCGAAACTCCAGGCTTGCTTCCCAACCTGCATTTCTCCCTAGAGACCGGAGACCGTGTCTGGCCTCTCACCTCTTGGCCTTGCTCATGCTTTTCTCTAGAATGTTCTTCTTCCATCCCCGACCTCTCTTGCCTGTCTCCTGCTCATCCTTTCCAGGCTGCCTTCCTGTCCTGGCAGGGCTGGATTTGGGGTCTCTCCTCCACACGCCAGCTCTCTCCCAGTTATGAATCTGAGAGTGTCGGAGGCAGGACACCAGGCCTCGTCTTCCCCGTGTTTGGGGCACACTGTCGTGCTTCACAAATGAGTTGCACTGGCCTGAACAACCCAAGCCAGTTTCCATGGCAGCCCAGGCTTTCTGCCCAATCCTTACTGGCTCAGCTCTGGTTCACCTGGTCAAGAGGCACAAGGGCTCCATTATGTGCTGTGGTGGCCCGGAACAACAGTGATGTTCTGGGGTGTGCTGTGGGGGCTGGGGTCGCGACAGATGGAGCCCAAACAAAGCCCTCATTAAGTGGGATGGTGGCAGGTGGGATGGCAGTGCTTTGCTGCAGGAGCATTCCAACATCAAAGGAACTGGGTGTCCAGGTGAACTTGGCAATGTCTGAAAGTCATAACAAAGGCCATCTGTTATGGTGCGCAACACTACACGCTGTTCACTCTCCCCTAACCAAAGCCCCTCGAGGATCTGTATCCACAGGACCCCAGCACCCAAGATGACAGTTGTTATAGTTGTCCCTGCTCCTGTTGCAGGCCTTGGGACCTGTGCCAGAACCCTCAGAGCCAGAGTTTGTCTTCATCTGGGTCTGGAATCTGAGCAGAGCTCAGGCTGCTGATAGCCTTGGGATAGGAATCAAACCAAGAAGGCTTGGAGGGCTCTGGGGCAGGTGCCCTGAGGAGGGCAGTGGCTGAGAACAGGTGAGTCCCTAGGGAACAGTGCAAACTCTGAGATCACAGTGTCTGCTAGACTTTGGCCACCTGGGATGGGACAGACTTGGTGGCTTTTCTATGCACAAAGCCACCACACAGCCTGTCTTTGATCCTTGCCTCTAGCCTGCTCACCTGGAACCCTTATGATTGGCAGTCTCCTGGGGAATCACCCTCCCCTGGAGAAGCACAGAAGGGGCCCTGCAGCTGTCTGAGGTCAGTTGAATTCAGAGAGCCCAGGTGTAGGCTGCTCCAGGTGTCGTACATGTGTGTGTGTTGGGGGTGGTGTTGATCCCAGGACATGGAATTGGGGAAGAGTCTGCTAGGAATCCCAAGGCCCTTGTCCTCCTAAATCCTCAGGCCTGACTGAGGGACTCAAAGGGATCCAACGAGGACCTCCTCAGCTCCTGGGTTCAGTTGAGCATGTAGGCTGGTCTCCTGCAGCCTCACCTTCACCCTCATCAGTGACCTCTGCCGCCTCTGCATGGCTCTCCATGCCTGGCCTATTCACAAGGCCTTTGGAATAGTCATGGGCCCTGCCTCTCCTGATGATCCCTGGGAGGAGTGGAGTCGGGGCACAGCTACTGTCTCTGCCTTCTCTTCATTGCCCTGTAGCAGCCAGCCCCCTTCCTGCTTGGCCCTCTGTGAGGCCTCAGTTTACCTACTTGTACTGCATCATATTCCCTAAGGTGGAGTGAGCACCCAGGACTAATGTGAGCAGTGGTGGGTGGGGGCTGGGAGGCTGGGAGGCTACTTAGACTGTGAAAACTGCTAAGGCACCCCACAAGCCCCTGTGACAGCAGAGGGAGCAGGAGAGGTTAGGGAAGGCTCAGGTACCAGCCTGAGAGCCAAGTGGCTCTGCCATTTCCAAGCAACGGGAGGCTGGGCTTTGACCCCCTTGTCAGAGAAATCCACGTTGAGGGGCTCACTCGGTAAAGATCTGGCATTGGCTGGGTGTGGTGGTGTATGCCTGTCATCCCAGCACTCAAGAGGCTGAGGCAAGAGCCTAAGCTCAAAGCTAGTAAGAGTACAGACAAGATCTTTTTTTTTTTTAAATAAAACTTTATTTTTCCAGACAAGATCTTGTCTTGAAGGAAAACAACAAAAACAAAATAAAGAAACAATGCTTGTAAGTGTGCCTCAAGATCGAATGTTAGTGTTCACCAGGAGTGGATGGCAGTGTACACTGGGAGTGAGAGTGGCCCCCTGCCCTCCTTGCCCCTCCCCTCCCTGGTAGAGGATGGGCTCTAAGGCCAGTCACCATCTGGCTCCTGGGAGCAGCCCCACCTCATTAAGTAAGGATCATGGGACGGCTTATTTCCCCCGGCTGTCTGATAGAGGCTGGTGTCTAGGGAACCATGCCCGGCACTCCAGGTGCCAGGCACCTCTTGGGAGCACCTATATTGTGTAAGAGAGCCGCTGGTGTTGCCACTCTTGGCCTGTCTTCTGTTTGTTTCATTTTTACCACCCGACATTTGATAGCAGAGTCTTGGGTTAGGCCAGTCAGTGACTTGCCATGCCCACTCTCCCTCTTGGTGGCCCCTTGGAAGGGGATCACCGAGACTGGCATATGTCACACACTGTATCTCATGGGCTCTTCACAGCCCTGAAGGAGATGACACCACCATTTCCTCCCCTGGGGAGGGGACTGAGGCTCAGGCCTCCATGCAGGCATGAGGCCACTCTGCTAATGAGAGGCCGGGCGAAGATTCAGAGAGCATCCCTGGTGCCCCCTTCTTTGCCACCCCCTTTGTCCTCCCTGAAAACTCAGACACACCCCCAAGAATACCTGAGTGTTTTCTGATGTTTCTTATCCCAAATCCTACTCTAGACCAGGAACCCCAGCAAGAAACCAGCCACTTTGCCCGTTTTACTGCTCAAACCCTCAGCAAAGCTCAGCACACTGGGAGCTGGGCAGAGGGGAGTAGCTCAAAGATTGTTCTTAGAACAAGGGAAGAACCCAGCCAGCCCCGTTATACACACCTTAATGCATGTGTATACACGCATACATGGGGTACGGCTACCCCAGCCTTACAGGCGTGGAATGCCAGCCTAGGATCCTGCAGTCTCTTTTTCTAACCCCAGGTCTTGGCCAGGGATGCGGTTATTTTAAGTTCACACAGGAGGGACCCAAGCCCACCTGCTCTTTTCACACATGTCCCCCAGCTGTCAGCAGCTCTTCACCTGCCTTGTTCTACAGTGGCCTGGAGGCTGGTCTGGGAGGGCCAGGCAGGGCCCAAGGGTCACTGAGCTGCAGAGATGAGGTTAAGTCTGCTGGTTTTGCAGGGCCGTGGTGGGGCATGCCTTTAATCCCAGCACTTGGGAGGCAGAGGCAGATGGATTTCTGAGTTCAAAGCCAGCCTGATCTACAAAGTTCCAGGACAGCAAGGGCTACACAGAGAAAACCTGCCTCGGGTGGGGCTGGGGGGGCAGTCTTCTGGTTTGGAACCCAGGTTCTGAGTTCTGAGTTCTGTCCTCCAAAGACTGGTGCGTAGCACAAAAGTATCTCTGGATTCTAAATACCCGACCTGTCAGGTGGGAGCTCGAGCTTTGCTGCTACTGAAATGGCATAAAGCAAGGCTGTGGTAGAGATGAGGGTGTGGTGGGCAAAATGGACCTTGTCACCAAAGATGTGTTGCGATGACCAGCGGTGTTACAGTTCCTCCTCCAGTAAAGACAGCATGGGAAGTGGTACTGTGGTTAGTGGAAGAGGCCTTGGATCCTGAGTTCATTGTAGATGCCACGCCCGTCACACACATACAGTGTTCTCTGCTGCCCTGGGATGGTGCCATCTTCAGGGGACAGCCACTCCTTACCAAAGAGGCTTTGGCTCCCAAGCACCCAGTCCTGAAGCCCAGAGAGCAGATAGTGGTGGGAGAGGTGTGCAGGCTGTGGGAACTCCAGGTGACTGTGGTCCCCTGCTCGGGGATGTTTGCAGATGGTGGTCCTCATGGACCCAATGGAAGACCCTGACGACATCCTGCGGGCACACCGGTCCCGGGAGAAGTCATACCTGTTCGACGTGGCCTTTGACTTCACTGCCACCCAGGTGAGTGGGAGCATGGTCTGGGAAGAGGAAAGACCCCTCCACACTTTGCCCTGCAAGGGAGGCTTCTCAGGGGACCCTGATCCACTGTTTACTCAAGGATCCACTTTCTGGAACTTTGCCCATTTGTGGAAGTCTACACGTACTTGTGTGGTCTCTCACCTGTACATTTGCATGGCCTGACACCACATGGCAGGTTGCCTGGACGCCTGCAGGGCCACACACCTGGTTTTGTGCAGAAACACACTTGGTTAGCACTCACGTACCTACTGACTGGCATAGAGAAGCCGCATGAGACACTCCACGGCTGGCCTATATGGGTCGGGGGAAGGATGGCGAAGCCCATCTGGTACGGAGACAGCAGGTGTAAGGCAGACTCAAGAAAGCTGACACCCTCCTAGGGATTCCATCTTACCCACCTTCCAGATGCTGAGATGCCCCCAGGGGCTGACTCTGCACCCTCAGAGCAGGGGTGGGGTGGGGGAGCCACCTGTAGAGCAGGCTTCTCGGGTGTCCTGAACCCTTTTGCAGGCTGTTGCCACCCCTGAGGGGTGTAAGCAGAGACTGTCTTCCTCCACTCCCTCTACTCACTCAGTTACCTCTAGCCTGGGGCTCCAGGGACAGATACTACACCTGTTCACAACCAGGACCTGCCTGGGGGCACCCACGTCTTGTCCTGTCTTAGACCTTAACAAATGTCTTCTCCCCTGCAGGAAATGGTGTATCAGGCCACCACCAAGAGCCTCATCGAGGGTGTCATCTCAGGGTACAATGCCACTGTGTTTGCCTATGGCCCTACAGGTGAGGAGGAAACAGGGACACAGACAAGACTGTAGAACTGTTGTTGTCTCCCCTGAGAACCAAGCCACTCATTGGAGAACCGTCCTGGCCCAAGCATGGGATTGTCCAAACCTTGCCTCACTCAGGTCCCTTGTGCCACAAAGGCCCTGTTCTTCAGCCATCTGGGAGGGTGCACCCTCAAGGACGACAGCTCAGGGGCCCAGAGCACCTCCCCAATAAGGCTTCACCCCCACCTGGCCCCTGCCCTGCTGACCACCAACCTGTCCTATCCAGGCTGTGGGAAGACCTACACCATGCTGGGCACTGATCATGAGCCAGGCATCTACGTCCGGACCCTGAATGACTTGTTCCGAGCCATCGAGGAGACCAGCAATGACATGGAATATGAGGTGTCCATGTCCTACCTGGAGGTAAGTCCCCACCAGGCTTGGATAGGTGGCATGTAAGATTTGGTGGTCCCCCTCCCTGCAGCCAGTCCCTGGCAGTTCCTGAGTTGCTCAGTGTGTCCACCCCCCACCCCCCATGCGTAGCATGAGCCCCACCTGATAAAAACTGAGACTCAAAAGTCAGACACAGTGGCGCACATCTTTAATCCCAGCACTTGGAGGGCAGAGGTGGGCCTATCTCTGAGTTCAAGGCCAGCCTGGTCTACAGAGCAAGTTTCAGAACAGCCAGGGCTGTACAGAAAAGCCCCGTCTTGAAAAACAGAAACAAGAAACGAGACATGGAGAAGAGAGGTGCACAGCGATGGCAGGGCAGGGATTCCGACTTGGGGCCCTGTCGCTGTAATGTGGTCCTGCACTTCACAGAAGCCTGCGCGGCAAGCAGCTGAGCCAGCATCCTCAAAAGCTCACCTTGCCCCAATCCTTTGAGCCCATTCCCTAAACCAGTGGTTCTCAACCTGTGGGTCGTGACCCCTTTGGGGGAATCAAACGTCCCTTTCACGGGGTGGGGGGGGGATGCATACCAGATGACCTGCGTATTAGATATTTTCATTATGATTAGTAACAGTAGCAAAACTATACCTGTGAAGTTGCTATGAAAACAGTTTTATGGTTGGGGGAGTCACCGAAACATGAGGAACTGTATTAAAGGGTCACGGCCTCAGGAAGGTTGAGAACCACTGCCTCATGCAAACATCTTCCCATTAAGGACTTCATAGGTTGAGAGGTAGTCACAGAAGTCGGGGTAGGCAGCGGCGGCGGGGGGGTGGGGTGGAGAGTAATCTAAGCCAGCAAGCCAGTCTCCATCTGGCTCCTCTGGGAGCTGATAATCTCCAGGGTGATAGTTCAGAAGGAGCAGTGAGGGGAGCAGCCAGCAGGCCATTGACTCAGCCAGCTGGGCTGGCCTTGACTGGGGCAAGTGTGGTGACACCTAAGAGAAGTAGCCTGAAGGTTGCCTAGCAACAAGCTGATCTCCCTGGTCTGGCCAGGGAGCAGGTGCAGGTGTCCAGCCCCGGACTGGCCTCTCTGCAATGGGAGCCCCGGATGATTCGGAAACCTCCTGCGACACCATCATGGGAAGGGGGTGCTCCCCCCACCTTGGACTTCTCTCTCTCTCTCACACAGGGCCTGGGATTCAGCAAACAGTGGCCCTTCCTTTCTTAGCAGGCAGGGGACCGCTCGGCTGCACCAGGCCCAGGCCTCTTGTCCATCTCTCTCCCCCTTTCCCGCTGTCCCATCAGATCTACAATGAGATGATCCGGGACCTGCTGAACCCTGCCCTGGGGTACCTGGAGCTAAGGGAGGACTCCAAAGGGGTGATCCAGGTGGCCGGAATCACTGAAGTGTCCACCATCAATGCCAAGGAGGCAAGTCTCCAGCAACTGGCTAAGGCCTGTGTGTAGGGAGACACCCTGTAACCATGCCTCCTAAGGGCTGGCTACAGGTGTATCAACCACACCCGTCGGGTGTGGTCAAGGTGATTTCAGGGTGATGTGGGAAAAGGTTAAAAGGGATAACCAAGGCACATGGCAGCTCTCTTTTTTTTCTCTGCTGCTTTGCCTCGCTCTGGTTTCCTGTCGGTTGGCATTTACCTATTAAAGATATCCTGACCTTACGGACTACGTATGAGTTATTCACCATGATACCTGTGGGCAGGACAATCACTCTGAGGGACCAAAGCCAGGGAGCTACTGGGACAGAGTACCCTGAGTGGTGGCAAGAGAAGTCACACCCCCATCATGCTCTAACATGCTCACCCTAGTAAGCAGACAGGCCACACAGCCTCTCCATTTATACAGACACACCTGTCCAGGGAGAGTGTCCAGGCCCCTTAGCCCACCCTGGGAGCTCATAGGTTAGACCTCCTCCACCAAGCTCCGGCTCCTCTCTGCAGGGTCCCCGGCCATCACCCCCATCTTTCCTTCCCAGATTATGCAGCTGCTGATGAAGGGGAACCGGCAGAGGACACAGGAACCCACAGCTGCCAATCAGACGTCTTCCCGCTCCCATGCAGTGCTCCAGGTGGCAGTACGTCAGCGCAGCCGGGTCAAGAACATCCTCCAGGAGGTGCGGCAAGGCCGCCTGTTCATGATTGACCTGGCCGGCTCTGAGCGTGCCTCCCAGGTGAGGCCTGCTCCAGGGGCCCAGTGGAGTGAGGGCTCCCCAAAGAGAAGCAAGGGGGCGGGCAGGGGTGATGGCCTTCCAGGTGAGGCCAAGTTTCAGAGGAGGAAGGACCTCAGGGAGAGGCAGACAGGAAGGAAGGGAGGGTGTCTCAAAGATGTCAGGGCACAAGTGGAGTCCCCAGAGTGAGGGACTGAGCAATGGGCCCGACATCTTGAAGGGGTGGGCTTGCTTGGGGAAGCAAGGATGGGAGGAAGGGCAAAGCAAAGCCTCCTTCCATGCCGTGTCACCTCTACCTTCAGGGACCTCGGGAGAGAGGCCGTGGTCTATAGCCAGGATCATCTGGGTGTTGTTGGGTAGCTGAACGAAGCTTCGGTATGTTATCCCACAAGGCTATAGTTATATCCTCTGCTGTCTCTCCAGACACAGAATCGGGGGCAGCGCATGAAGGAGGGGGCTCACATTAACCGCTCTCTGCTGGCCCTGGGCAACTGCATCAACGCCCTGAGCGACAAGGGTGGCAACAAGTACATCAACTATAGGGACAGCAAGCTCACCCGGCTCCTGAAGGTACCAAAACAAACCGGGCCTGGGCACTGGCATCAAGAGTGGGCATGCCAGACCCTACATAAACAACGCGCAGCTATTTCCACTTGGATCTCACCAAGTGACATCACCAAGTTTGTTATGTATCAGTATGCTTCATGCGATATCTGAGACAACCTTAAGCTAAAGCAGGCCGTTCACAGTTTATCTGAAATTTGATTGCAAGCAGGTGCTCTCTATATTTCTGGCAACTCTAACCAAAGCACAGGTAGAGGATGAGCAAGAGCAGTGCTGGGACCTTCTCCCAGGGCTGTGAGTCAAAGAGAACATAGATGTGGGGCCTCTGTGATGGTCGGCCTTGTAGCCAATGGAGCTGCTTGTTGGGGCTGCTTACTCATGGCACGGCAACTCTTGGCCTTCGGTTATCGACAATTTGCTGGGCTCAAGGGCTTCTTCCCACCAGTTCAAAAGCCTCCCCAGTAGCTTTGTGAGTTAGGAGGAATGCTTTTATAGATAAGGAAACTGAGGCACAGACAGGTTAAGGAATCTCCCTGTAGGCTTAAACCTTGTAAACGCTGAAAACAAGATCCCGGCAGAAGCCTGTGGTTTATGAAGGCCTGTATCGGCCTGCCATGAAGACTGCATCTCCAAGCCAGGGAGCAGGGGAACTTGAAAATGACCAACACTACATACGTGTGTTCATGCTGTGCAGGCATGCACGCATGCCTCTGTGTGTGTGTGTGTGTGTGTGTGTGTGTGTGTGTGTGTATGTGTGTACATGTGTGTACACCCAGAGAAGGTGTGGTAAACAGCTTGGGGAGCCTCTGGGGGAGGTGGTCTCCAGCTAGCCAACATCCCTCTTCCTCAGGACTCACTAGGGGGGAACAGCCGCACAGTGATGATTGCCCACATCAGTCCGGCGAGCACCGCCTTCGAGGAGTCCCGGAATACCCTGACCTATGCTGGCCGAGCCAAGAATATTAGGACTCGGGTGAGGGCCCTTGGCCTACCCCCAAAGCATACCCTCCTGGACTGAGATGTGAGATCCTTGAGGACCCTTGCCAGCCCCTGCACAATTTCTGCCCTAACCTCGTTACCCAGGCCCTGAGCCTTTGCCTGCCTGCCTGCATACCTGGAGCCCCTGGCTCCCAAACACCTCTTCTGCCTCTCAGAGACCCCAGGTGTGCGCCCATCCTGTCCCTCTAGCTTCCCCTCCTCTTCAGAGGTTACTCAGTCCTCTGTGTGTCCAGACATGGCATCACCGTAGTCACAATAAAAGGGTGTCCTACCTAGTGTCACTCTGAGCACTTTAGCACACTCAGAACCGAGCAGGAGTTAACACCCCTCTAACGTACAGTTTAGGACAATAAAGCTTAAGGGTATAAAGTGACTTCACAGCTGATTGAGACTGGAGCTGAGGCTGCCTGGTTCCCAAGTTCATGGTCAAACTCACGTTCTCTGGTCAGGAAGTTGTCTCAGCCTGTGTGGGTGTCAGGGGAAGAACGGCTACCTTTGAAGTAGTGTGTAGTGAGCCTTCTCCCAATGTCTGCAATTCCCCCCAACATTGTCATGCAGCCTCCGGGAGCTTCACAGTGACAAGCCACATGAGCATGGCTAGTCAGTCAGAAACGGCTTACCCTGGCATGGTAGTGAACACTGCAGCCCAGTATTAGGAGGTGGACACAGGAGAGTCAGGAGTTCAAGGTCATCCTTGGTTACACAATGAGTTCAAGGCTAACTTGGGCTACATGAGACCTATCTTTTAAAAAGCAGGTAATTATTTAATTGATGCTAACAGTAGGTACCAAGGCAAGCCATGGAAAGGAGAAGTAGAGATGAACTATCTGTTGTGGGTATGGAAAGACCAGCAGATTGCCTGGCTAGAACAGAACACTCAGATACAGAAACAGAGTCCAGCCGGGCAATGGTGGCACACACCTTTACTCGTGGCACTCGGGACGCAGAGGCAGGAGGATCTCTGTGAGTTCAGAGCCAGCCTGGTCTACAGAGTGAGTTCCAGGACAGCCTCCAAAGCTACACAGAGAAACCCTGGAGAGAGAGAGAGAGAGAGAGAGAGAGAGAGAGAGAGAGAGAGAGAGAGAGAGAGAGAGAGAGAGAGAGAGAGAGAGAGAGAGAGAGAGAGAGAGAGAGAGAGAGAGAGAGAGATGGTTTTAATGGCTCAGAGCTCTTCCAGGGGACCTGAGTTCAGATCCCAGCACCCCACATCAGGCATTTAACAATTGCCTGTAACTCCAGCTCCAGGGGACCTTACACCTTCTTCAGGCACTCACACTCATGTGCACATGTTCCCACACAGACACACATGCATACACATAAAGTAGAAGACAAAATGGGGGAGGGAAAGGAATCAAGACTTCGATACCCGGTGAAGGAATGGGCTCCTTGGGCAACAGGGAGGCACTGAGGTCGAAGAGCGGGACTGGAACTTTAGGATGACAGGCCTAAAAGACGAATGCAGGCGCAATAGGAGGCTGTGGGGAGGAGGGCAAGGAGGCCATTGCTGCCACTGAAAAGGACAAGGACTGGCAAAGGGGAAGATAGAAGAAGAGGTGTCCCACAGGCAGGCCTGGCTCCTGGGGTGACCGTACCCCCTCACCTCTGACGCTGGGCTCCCTGCAGGTGAAGCAGAACCTGCTCAACGTGTCCTACCACATCGCCCAGTACACAAGCATCATCGCTGACCTGCGAGGGGAAATCCAGAGACTCAAGTGCAAGATCGACCAGCAGGCGGGGCGGGGCCAGGGCCGGGGCCGACTGGACCGGGGTGACATTCGCCATATCCAAGGTATGCACCCAGCCCTGTGGGTTCCGAGGTGGGAGCTGCTCTTAGCAACCCTCTCCAGGTGGCCTTGTGAGGTCCCAGGACCAGGAGCATTAACTCTGGCTAAGTGGTATCGGACTGCTTATTCCACATCTTCGCGCCTTCCCCTGTGAAACGGGATCACACCTCTGCTTTGCAGAGCTGGAGATGGAATCATCTGAGGATACTATGCGGACGGCTGCCCTGTGGGGCCCTGGAAGGCATAACGCTCACTGAGACTTGCCTGTTTGCTGTAATGGTTTTCCAACAGATAGCAGAGAAACAGGGACACCCTTTATAGTTGGCACAAGGATGCTGTGAGGGCTAGCCCAATCTCAATCCGTGTGGGAGAGCAACGGTCATCTTTGGGCTGCAGTTTGCATATATATTGTGGGAGTGAGATGTGCGGGAGAAGAGGAATCCAAGAAGTTGGAAATGCAAGCAGCGGTCTGGGGAGAAACTAGGAGACAGAGCCCCAGGTGGGCCTGAGCTGGCTGCTGTGCTGACACCACTCCCACTCTTCAGCTGAGGTACAGTTACACAGCGGGCAGGAAGGCCAGGCGGAGATGGGACAGCTCCGGGAGCAGCTCATCGGTGCCTTCCACGAGCAGATGGATGTGCGCCGGCGCCTGCTGGAGCTGGAAAACCAAGCCATGGAAGTCCAGATTGATACCTCCCGTCACCTACTCACCATCGCGGGGTATGCTTCCCCTGTCCCGGGACCCTCGGGCCCACCCCATGTTCAGGTTTGTCATGGAGGAGCCTGGAACATAGAAACACAGTGCCCTGCCCATGAGCTGAATCTTGTGTCTCTTGGGCGCTGCTGGCAGCTGGGAGCATGAGAAGTCACGCCGGGCTCTCAAGTGGCGTGAGGAGCGAAGGAAGGAGTCCTACACCAAAGATGACAGTGAAAAGGACTCAGACACAGGGGATGAGCCAGATAACCTGGAGCCACCAGAGGTGGCCTCAGCCCGGGAAAACATCGCCACCCTGGTGGGCGAACAGAAGAAACTGCGCAAGCAGAAGGTACGATGGGCCTTGGGTGTAGGGAGAGTGGGGAAGAAAAGGCGGAGGACTGAGGAAGAGAGAGACCAGAGAGCAGAAGCCGCAAATGCTGGCTGACCTTGCCAAGTTTCTACATCTCTGTGTGTGTCATACTTCGCATTTCTAAAATACGAGCACCCATGGTGATGCCCGAACGGAGTCGCTGGAGACAGTTAAGTTAATGCTTGGCATGAAGCAAGGACTAAGGACATGGTAGTCAATATAATAACAGATTTTTTTTTTATCTTCTGCGTTGAAATAAGGGCTGCCGCAGGGCATGGTTGAATCAAGTGGGCACACAGGCGCCGAATAGTTGCAAGACCCCAAAATAAGCTTTGAAGGCTAGCTTAGAACCGTAATATTAATTAGAAAGCTATAAGTGGTTACATTAAGTCATGCTTTTTTATTGGGCTTGGAGAGCCAGCCAGAAGGCCTGAGAGCAGGGGGCCTGGCTGGGTGGGTGGGACTGGGCTGGCCCTGAGCAGGACAGCCCTG